CCCTCCCTCTCCTGCTGCTACTTCAATCATGAAACTGCTTAATGATCAGCTGATCGGCTTTTCTGTCGCGAGTCTGTCTCTCTTGTTTATTTTTGTCCCACTTCGCACCAGAAAGAGGAAACCAGCGGCTGAACAACAGCAGCACGTTTAAGCTTGATAAGATGTTGTTAGAATTTATTTAATATTACTTTCTAGACCACGATCCTTTTCTACATAGCTGACGACTGGTAACTGTGCAGGGGCGGATCTAGCAAAGTTTAGCCAGGGGGGCCGATAGGGCATGAACAGGGAAAAGGGGGCACAAAGACATACTTTTCTTTCTTCTCATTTAAAATGTCTAGCTTTTAATAAATAATTATCTGAATCTTACACCCAAAGTTTTAATCTTATGTAAAATATATAGAAGTCCATTACTGTATATAGTAACTGATAAGTCTAATATACCCTAGTAAGCTATAGTACTTTTTCCTTTGGGAACCATCTGTGCAGTCTGCAATTCTGTTGAAGAAAGATGTTGAATCTATTTAATTATTCTTGAAAAATAATTTATTTCTGTGCATTTTTTTTCCACACTGCATCAAATTAAAGTTGATTATGTCGATTAAGCATCATGAGGTGGAGGGTGGGGGGTGGTTCCCTATTTTTTTTTTTTTTTGCTGGGAGTTTGCAACCCTATTAGTTAGGTTGCTTAATATTTCTGCTAAGTACTCTTTAAAATACCAGAATAGGGAGGATGGAGTAGGTTTAAGTTTATTAGATTGATCAGTGTTGCTAAACTATGAAATTTTTTGGGTGCAGTGTATTTTTTACACACAGGTATAACAGAATAGCTTTAGTGTTGTTGTTTATTTAAACTTGAGTATGAACTTATACAAAATGCAGCAATATATTAAAAAAATAGTTTTATTGATTAAAAACACACTATATCGGATTCATATCGGTATCGGCAGATATCCAAATTTATGATATCGGTATCAGACATAAAAAAGTGGTATCGTGCCATCTCTAGTAATTAGATGATTAAAATCAATGTGTTTGCTCTTTTATCACCACTCAGCTAAATACGAAAAGACCTAAACAAAAAGCACATAGTTTATGTAATCCAGCTAACATCTGTTTTAACTCCACAGTGCATCTCACACAGCCAACTTGATTGTTGTAAAAATACTTACCCATTTTGTGCTTTTGTTTTGTTTTTCTAAATTCCCTCCACCTCAGGGTTCGGTCTGCCCAGCAGTTTCAAGCTCTCCAGGCTCAATATTCAGACGTCATTCCTGAACATCAGTTTCACTATACAGAGCATCAAGCTGGAGAGCCAGCTATGGCAAACATGGTTAATCCGGAACCCATGATGGATCAGCTGGAACCCACCAACTTGACAAAACGTACTTTGATATAGTTATTGTGTTAACACCTAGTTATAAGTTAGGATCAGGGTTTAAAATGGGCTGGAATGATATTTGTTCAGTTAATCTGTAATTTAGTCTGATAGGGGTCATCAAAACATTATGAGTTAAATTGCCTATCTGGGCACTAGGCCTTTATGTTTTGTTTTCTGCTGCATGATGTTTAGCAGGAGCAGGTAAATTGGCTGGAGCTACACCTAAGCATGATGTGCTCAGCTTTAAAGGCTTCCTCCTTCCTACAGTCGCTCAGAGTTCCTTTTGCTCATAGACAGTGACAAGGGAAGTAAGTTTATTAACCAAAGCATGAATATTGTGTAGTCAGTAACTCAGTTGTGTAAAGTATGTTTTGATGAGTTGGAGGAAGGAGGAAGCTTTGCTAGGGCAGCTGACCGCAGCCTGTTAACAAAGAAAAATCTACTGCCATCTAATGTTAGTTTAGTGTGACAGGTCCTACCATTATATATGGTGTTTTTTTAATATCATTTATTTGCTGTATATTAGGGCATGATGATATATAGAAATAGTCTGCCAAAACTGCAGTTTAACACCACACAAGAGCAAATGACTTCCAACAGTACTTACATCATGGTCTCTTATCTTTTTTTATTTTTGTTTTCTCAATTCTTATAGCTCCAGCTAAAAAGAGAGGCAGACCAGCTCAACCCAAGGAACCAGGGGCACCCACACCACCAAAAGTCCCAAAGGCACGAAAGCCACCAAAAGACCCAAATGCACCTAAAGCAAAACCAGGTCCAAAGCCCAAAAAGGCAGCTCAGGCTGATGGGAAACAGGAGAAGATTGATGAAACTTTCAAGAAGGTAAAGAGGAAAGTAGACCGCTTCAAGGGCATGTCAGAGGAGGAGGTCATGAAAAAGACTCTACCAGACCTGCTGGACTACAACCTAGACTATGTCATTGTAAGATTCACTTTTTAGTTGGATAATTATATATTATGTCTAGTTCACTGCTAGACCATAATGTGAACATAAGCTTGGCTAACCTCACCGGTTTGCTTTCAGATTGGTATCAATCCAGGTCTGATGGCAGCTTTCATTGGAAGATGGTTTCCAGGTCCTGGAAATCATTTCTGTAAGTTATGATACTGTAATTATTTTTGAGTTGTCTTGTGGTAACATAAACATGGATCTTAGGCTTCAGAAAGGTTATTGATTTGCTGACACAGTGGTGCAGATTTTTACCTTACAGAATAAAGCATGTCCTGGTCCTTTCTCTGTGAAGTTTGTAAATTCTCTTCCTGTATGGAATTCTTCTGGGTATTTATTAGCCTTTGGTGCTGAATCACCTGGTCACTTTTTGATTTCAGGGAAGTGTTTGTTTCTGTCTGGATTTACTGATGAGCAGCTCAACCACATGCATGACACCGTCCTACCTGTTAAGTATAAAATGGGCTTCACCAACATGGTGGCCAGGGCAACACCAGGGAGCAAAGATCTTACAAGGTATATGACTGTAAAAGATTTCAGTCAGCATATTAGAAAAAAAATATTTTATAGGTTTCATAAACCTTTTTCTTTCATTTCATCTCACCAGTAAAGAGTTGCGTGAAGGAGGCAAAATTCTTGTGGAGAAGCTGAAAAAATACAAGCCGCTTATTGCTGTGTTCAATGGAAAATGTAAGCCCACCTACTAACAAAGAGCAATAGTTGCCATAAAACAGTTTGCTTAAGCTAATAGTTATCTTCTTTTGTCCACAGGCATCTATGAAATGTTCTGCAGAGAACTGTTTGGTAAAAAACCACAAAAACTCGAATTTGGTTTGCAGCCACACAAGATCCCTGACTGTGACGTGGTGAGAACTCAGTTTTCAGTCAGGTTTTTAAAGGTTTCTTCAGATATTGGTGGAAATGATACAGATACATACTGTTCTTCAAGAATATTTAAGAAATATTTTCAGCTGTTATTTGTATTTATTCAATAAATTTAATAGACAATGTTCAAAGTGTGAAAATAATATTAAGAATAAAATGTCAAAAATGTAGGATTTTTCTAGTATTTTGTTCATAAAGGCTTAAATTTGTAATTATAGGAACTGACCCGAAATTGAATGTGCAAGTCTTTATATTTTGTGATAGAAGTGATATCATTAACATATTGATATCAAAGGAAATCAATATAGACAACTAGAAAATTAAGAACTGCAAGAAATTTAAAATAAAAACTGCAAGTGTGATACTTAAAAGTAACTGATACTTCATTCTGAAGACTTGACTTAAGAGTTTATTTCTTCTTTGCAGGCTTTGTTTCTGATGCCTTCATCCAGTGCTCGTTGCGCCCAATTCCCTCGTGCTCAGGACAAAGTCCACTTCTACATCAAACTGAGAGAACTCAGAGACCAACTGAAGGGTGTCCAAAGAAGCACAGAGATCCAAGAGGTCAACTACATGTTTGACCTTCAGCTGGCCAAGGGTAAGCATGACCAGGGCTGGGTGGGTGGGTGTGTGCATGCGTATGCGTGTTTGGGTTTTGTTTTGTTTTTTTCTTTAAAAAAATGTGTAACTTGGCTGTCTAACCTGAATTTCATCACTAAGTACCTTTACAGCGGCTTTAATTAGAAATTTTAATTAAAATTCAATTTTTAAAAAGTAAAACTACTACGCTATTATTTACCATAGATACTTTCCCTACTTTTAATATTGTAGAAATGCCTCAAAGCCACTAAAATTAGTGAAGTCATTAATTTAATATCCTGTCCATTTTATTAATTTTTTAAAGCATTTTGTTATTTCTTTCCCTTTTATATCAACAGAGGATGCCAAGAGGCTGGCAATAAAGGAAGAACAATACGACCCTGGTTATGAAGATGCCTATGGCGGAGCATATGTCGAGAGAGGACCTGAAGGAAGCCAAGCTGAAAGCCAGAGCAACGGTCACTGCACGTTTTCATCTGCTGAAAATACAGGTAAGTCATTCAGATAGGTGAGCCTGAGGGCGAGCTCGGATGCACCCAACATTCATCTACAGTCCTCGGCGCTTATGGTTCCTAGTTTCAGGTAGTTGTATTCTCCACCTGTTGAGACACTTGAGTATGTATAATTTGCGTAAATCTGTGTAGTTTGTATAAATTTGAGTTTTTATAAGTCCGTCTGTTACTCAGATGTGAATGTAGCGTTATGTAATTGCACAGACATGTGTAATTTGTCTTAAAGTGATGGCACAATCCTGGCCAGGAGCTGGAGTAACCATGAGCATGAACTTTGCTACAGACATCATTCGTTCACATCTTACATAGAAAAATGCTTCTGTTTCTGTGTTCTCCACCCCCAGAAGGAGCACAGGAGGCGACTGTATCACAAACAGCTGATGGCCAGCTCCCAGATGGACAGTGGATGACCCAGTCCTTTGCAGATCAGATTCCAGACATAGGCAGCGGACCAAAAGATGGTAGCATATGAGGAAAAGGGCTTGCCGGTGCTACACACAGAGACTTGAGCAAACTTAGCTCTTACCTCTTTTTTTGTCAGGTTTTAGAATTCCTTTTTAATTAGTGTCTGAGTGGAATATTTAAAAAAAACATAGTGGACTTTTTAGAAAATTTGCAGAATATATTTTCTGCACCTTTTTAATTCTTTGTGATCTTGTAAACATATACAGCATGATCGTCTTCACTGCAGTCTTTTTAAATATGTGAAATCAGGGACTTGACAGTAGCCTCTTTCAGACATGGTGCGTTCAACATCGATGGTGCTCTGTCCTGACATAAGTCATGGTAATGTTCCTCAGAGCTTTTTTCACACATACCATCATTCCAGAGAATTTTTTTTTTTGACAACCACATGAATCATTATGCTGGCCTTTGGTTTAAGGCGCTTCAGCACCAGTTTTTATACTGTCTGTTTCTTAAAGTGATTCGTAAATATTACTAGGTTTGGCCCAATAAGATTGCCCTTCTGACTTTTAGAACAGAATGACCGGGAGTGCCCATTGATAAGATGCTGTAAGATGAATACAAATTAATACTTGTCTGAAAGTGGCTAATGATGTGTGACTGTCTTTTCAAAGACAGTCACACATCATTTAAACCTTTGTTTTGCCTTTTTACTGTACTGTACTGTACTGCACTGCAATGCAGTAAATGAGAACTTTCACATCTGCTGTTTAAACAGCAGATAAGTTCCAGAAATTTTATTTTATAAACTTGACTGATCAGTGTGAGCTTGTGTGATCCTCTGTTTGCAGGGAGGACTTGGTTAGCATTAAAATGTTACATTCATGGTGCTATGAACTGATGAGATGCAAAGTGATGACTCGATGTCAGAGGTCCTGCAGAGGCATCATCTCACCAGCCTTTAAATGTGTTACGAAACATATAATGGGTTTTATTTTATTTTTATTTTGCTTTAGGAATTGTAGAATTATGTTATGTTTATGATTATATCGGTCACACGGAATGACTCATTTGTCCATTAAAATTTACTGATGATGCTTTTTCTATACTTTTGTTTTACCTTTGTTTCAATATCACATGGTAACTATTGTTCAATCTTTGCGAAGAAAAAGGCGTTCTTTTTATTTTCCTGTTGTACATTACAATTAGACTCATGGTGTTGATAAGATGTCAACATGTTCAGCAAATGCTGAAGTTTTTTTATTTTTTTTTTTGTTTTCCTTTGTTGGTTTCCTTTAATCAATCTTTTTTCCACTTTCTTTATGGTTGATTACACGTCCCTTTCCTGGTGTGTTTAACATCACCTGGCCAGATGCAGTTCTAGTTGAGACAGGGGGAATAAGGTCCATATTGCCATTGGTGTCCCAGCAGAGATTCATTTTAGAATTTGAGGTCATCTTTGATTTCAGAGTTTGTGTATTTATGTCTCGTCCTCTTTGATTCCTGCTGTCTGAACCAGATGACCTGCAGATGCAGTTATTCTCTTGAGATGCGCTGAAGAATATGAAGAGGAAAAAACTAAAAATTACCGTCACACAAAAGATGAGCTTTTCATTAATGTTACCTCCTTATAATATTAGCAACAGATACAGTTTGTTGGAGTGACAAAGACACGGCATATGTAAAGAAAGACAAAAATGAGATTTAACCCTTAAGAGCCCAGACCTATTTCTACTTTCATGAAAATTACGGGGGTCTTATATCAAATGAATCATATATAACCAAGTCTCTAAGTGTAAAGAGGCAGTGACACCAGTGTCACTGTGGGTCCTTAAGGGTTAATAATCCTAAGGTTAAATCAGTTTTTTTAAAGAGGTAAAATTGTGAATTTTCATCTACACATACCTGTTGATGCTATCATTGCTAATACTCCATTTCTGCCTGTAGAAATCTGCAGACCACAGTAACAACCTGCAAAGTGCTGTACAGCTGAATGACACCATGCTGTCACAGTAAAACACAGAAAAAAGAAAGAAATTGAAGTACTAATTGCTGTTATTAACTCAAGTTCATTCCAAAGCCCAGTAGAGAATGGGATATTAGGGAACTCTCAGATCAAACAGTTCACACTTTACCTTTTGGTAAAAAAGATGGTCAGCTCAACAGGTAAGATGAGGAAGGTAAGTAGATAGGTAAACAAATTCATTGTCAGGAAGTCCCTGTAATGCGGCCTCCAGCTGCTACTGTCATGACAATCCCTGCATGCCTCACATAGCACTAACACAGACACACAAAGGGTGGAAATTACATAAAATTATGTGTCATGCTACCTGTGAGAGACCTAGTGTGTGGTATAAATGACACTGTTCATTCATTTAAACTTCAATTTAATACATTTTACATAAAATGGGAAATTTAAATCACTAGTTTAAAATCTTAAGATTACATCATATTCTGCTGCTCAGTGGACAGACCTGGCAGTCTATATAAATCCACCGAATAGATCAGAAAGACTGTTACAGCCTACCATTTTACTGAAAGCAGAGGATTTTGTAAGTTGAAAGTTGATCTTTAATCTTTAGATTATTTATCTGATTAACAGTTAATGTAAAGAAATATTTTATGATTATTTAAATATGAGCTACATTAGATTCCTCTATCTTCTTACCTTGAAGAATGCAGCAGTATCAAGATGGTGGATGCAAGTAATGCCCTCCTAATGTAATACTTTTTCAATTTGTTAGCATTAACATATAATCGATTTAACTATCTAAATGTCATTAACTGTCCGAAGTTAATCTTTGAAAAGGCTTTCAGGACCCCTTGTTTAGGTTTGTACACCACAACTGATGTTTTGTGAGTCAATGCAACCACCTTTACTGGGGTTTATCCAGGACCAATGGCCATGAAAGTCGAACATAAAGATGATTGTTTTGTTTTATGTTCATGCCAAATCATTACACTCTTCCATTTCCGTGTCCTCTTTACCATTTGAACCAGCACTCTTACAAGGACAATTTTTTTTCAATTAAAATAAAGTCTTACAACAACTCTTTTGAAAAACTTCTGTACATCTGATGATCAGCTCGTCTCACTTGACCTCCTTACCTTTCTTGATAGCCACTGGGAGGTTCTCAATGACTCTGTGGTCCAGATGGTTTTCCTTGTGACACTTCATCATCCTCTCTTCTGCTCGACCCACTTCCTTCGTCTGCTCACAGCAAGGAGATTTGGCTCCTACCACTGCACTGCTGTGAATATTTTGTGCTGTAAGCAGATCTGAGACAGTTGGTTGATAACATGTTTTGATGTAACTTTATGGTGTAAACCAGAAATGCTAAAGAAAATGAAGGTGGAAAAATCTCACCTTTCTCTCTCAGGAAACAAAGAGCATCCATGTAGCCGTTGTGGCATATCTCAGCCAGCTTCTGCCTCACAAAAAAAAAAAAAACAGTTAAACATTACTGTACACTCTACTGCTTTAAAGTCGTGAGCTCTGAACATGAACCCACCTCAAGTCTGGGGGGGAGGAAGGATGTACAGACTCGATATACATTCCCTGTGTTGACCTGAATGCTGATGTTTCCGTAGTGGACTTCAAAGAAATTATATGACCCTTCTCTGGGGCAAATGTCATTCTCTCCCGAGAACGGGGCCATGGTGATGGTGTTTCTCTGCTCGGACAACGGCATCATGTTGCTCAGTGCTCCATCCACGTAGCGCTTAGAAGAAAGAAAAACTGATCAAAATTGATGGCAAGCTGAGATGACGAAGTAGATCTAGTGTGACAAAAACATGTCGCGAACTGTCCTCATATACAAAGCAGCCATAGCATTTATAAAGTAAAGGTGGATTATGACTCTCAAATAAAGATCACATGTATGCCGTGTGCTGTTTGTATGCTCAATCATAATTTTCAGTGTGCTTGCCTCTTTACCTGTGTGCTCTATGCCACTTACCTTATGTAAACCTTGAATAAGTTTAAAATTAAGTAAGTAAAGTAAGTAAACTTTATTTATTAAGTGCTTTTCACAGACAGACAACACAAAGCGCTGTACACAAATATTAAAATAAACAATAAAATCAATAAACATTATATACAATGTAAAAGATCAAATGTAAATAATGTAAAAAATATAAAATATGTAGATCAACAAAAGGCTTGTTTGAACAGAAGAGTTTTTAACTGTTTTTTTAAAAGAATCCACAGAGTCAAGCAAACGTAATTGTAGTGGTAAACTGTTCCACAGCCTTGGTGCAACAGACTGAAAGGCTCTGTCCCCTTTTGTCTTCAGTCGTGTACGGGGAACAACTAAGAGACTCTGAGTCTGTGAGCGGAGATGACGAGCAGCAGTGTATTTTATAAGAAGCTTGGATAAGTAATCTGGAGCCTGGCCATTTAGTGCTCTGTATGTTAAAACAAGAATTTTAAAGCGAATTCTAAACTCTATCGGGAGCCAATGTAAAGAATATAAGATGGGAGTAATGTGAACATGCTTGGTAGAGCGAGTTAGTAGTAGTAGTAAATTAAAGTGTGAGCAGAGAAAAAATTTAAAGCTTTGGCTGTAACAAAGCCTCCAGATATTGCGTCTTTTAGCCAAGAAAGCCATGGACTGTATAAGATGGCCATGCCCACCATAACATCACAGACCGATTAGTAAGGTTATGTTATGAAACTTGCTGAGACTGCTGAGATGGTTGTCTTTGCTCAACTGCAACAGGGCGTGATGAGAAAGGATTTGATATGATATATGAATGATATCCCGTTCCACTTCTATGATTCCCAAATTTACCTGCCTCTGAAATCTGGCAATAAAATGCTCCTGTAGCTTTGAAGCGGACAGATATTTTTTTCTTTCCCATTCTCTATGGTCTATGGCACAGAAATCTCTACTCATTTATTTCAATAATAAGACCAGTAAAAGCAAAGAAAGCATACAAAAAAAAGTTAAGCTCGACTGACCATGCCATGGTATGAAGGTGGAATGAAACCACAGTAAACAGGGAAAAAACAGCTGCACATGAGAACCTGCAAAGGTAAAGAGGTTAGATCACTAGACCAGAGAAGCCTAAAAGATCCCAACAATTTTTCTGTAAAGTCACCAATCTGATCAACCTGAATGAGCTCCTCTCTGCTGGCAAACTCGGACACCAAAACATTTTTCCCATCAGCTATTCGGGTGAGAGACACGCAGAGCCTTCCAGAAGCCCGGAGGTGGGCATCTTCTGGAAGCTTTTCCAGCAGGGAGTCCCTGACTGTCCGGAGCAGGCTGAAGGTCGGGTGGAAAACTCCAAGGGTGTGTTTTCTTGCCTCCTTTGCTGTGGTTAAAATATCAGCACACAACTGTTCTGAGGGAGAAAATGCAGAAGAACCAAATGTTCAGGCTGATGTAGAGAACCAGTGACATTATGATGTATCATTGCATTATCCACATGTCTGTTTTTTTATTGTGCAGCAGTTGTTTTCCCTACAGTCCCCTCACTTGACCTTGAATTCTGTGCGACCTTTGGAATTTGCTCTCACTGTTGTATCAGCTGTTTGTGTGTCAGGAACTTATGAAATACACCACCTAGTGTCAGATACAACACCATGTGTTTTGAGATATGCCTGAACTTCATGAATGGACAGGTACTTTAAGTGCAAATGAAAAAAGACAAAAGATTCATACAAAAATACAACGCATTGCAATAAACATGAATTATATCACACAAAATATTTTCATATATTCAACAAGGCATGTAGAAATAGAATAAACTTGCATATTTTTATTGGTCAATTTTGTGTTATATATGAGAATGATGCCAAGAGTTACATTTTATTTATGAATTCCTCTTTAATTTCTCTTTAAGAAACAAACTGTTGAAGAGCTGGACAAACTGTAATCTGCAGTGTACATTAAATGTGACTCACCAATGGGAATGCCAACAGTGAGAGCGGCAGCCACGAGACACCCAGAGGAAGATCCACAAATTTTAGAAGCACCATGAACCAGCTGTGGAGCCCGCTCCAGGATACAGCTCAAAGCTCCCACGTAGTAAATGCTCCTGAATCCACAGCCTGCAAAAGAGATGTTCCACTCCTCGACCCAGTTAAACATCTTACCTGGTTTCTCCATTGACTGTAAGATTAATTAAAACTCAGAACGATATCTATAATATTGTCATTTTGTCAGTCGTGTCTCAGAGTTCAGCTGGTGCATTTAGGAGCCTCCCAGGGTTGAATTGACCTGTGTTATCTGCACTACAGTCAGATGTAAACGGGGAGTGTTTTAGCTGGCTATGGTGTGGTATTGCACAACTTACTAGGCTCAAACGTTTCAAAATAGAAAACAAGCTGGAGTTGCTCACTAACTGTAATTTGGCCCGCTGTATGACATGTGATACAGTTTTCATTAGTTAGACAACTCTGCACTGTGTACAAAAATATGGGAGGCACAAGTGGGAAAACGCCATGACCATTCTGACTGGTAAGGTGTTTGTGAAGGGCTATAATTTATGAGATACAAAAAACCCAAGAAACACGTGTGTGTTATATCATATTAGCAAATGAGCATTGTATTAGGTAAAATAAATAAACAAAATGATTCTATTTATTTGCCCCAATGTTGAACTTAAATGTGTGACTTTGTTCAAATCAAATATTTGGCTTATTTGTATTGTTTATATCTGAAAAATATTTATGTGGTTACAAGAGCTATAATAGATATTTAAAAAACAAAACATCAAAATCAAAACCAAAAATACCACGAGATACATATTTACTTTTACAGCTCCAGTAATACACCCCAGCTCACACACACACACCTTTCTATTTATTTACTTGACACTTGAACCTTACATCAAACTGGTTTGTGCATTTCTTTGTTAATGCTCAAAAGCTCCAATTTGGGCATTATGGCTGTGTGTGAGAAGAATGGATCCAAATGAAAGCCAAGTAAACATTAAATACTCATATGTAAGTAAAATATTAGGAGTTTATTGATAAAACACTTATACAGCTATGTAGTCACAAAGAGCCATACAAGTTTACAGAATAAACAAAATAAAACTTGGAAGAATCACAATAAAAAATAGCAGGAATATATACATATGAAAGACAAGTTTGCAAATGCATTTTAAAGGAGTCCACAGAGTCAGGTATGTATAGTTGTAGTAGGAGACCATCTCAAGCCCTTAGTGCCAGTGTCTGAAGGGCTCTGTCCACCCTTAGTGTTCAGTGATGTGTGAGGAACAACTGACTGAGCCTGTGATCAAAGACAGCCAATAGCAGTGTGTTTAAGGAGAAGATGGGGTAAATATACTACAGCCTCTCTATTTAGTGTAAATACAATACTTTTAAATTTAAAAAATGAGCAATGTGAGCTTGCTTACTAGAACATGGTAATCCGGCCATGCCATTTTGCATAGTTTGTAGGCAAGAAAGAGATGATTTATCTAAGTTTGTAAACAGGGCATTGAAGTAATCTAGGCATGATGACACAAATAAATTATTTTCTTTTTCATTATATCCTATTACAGTAGCAAAAAAGATTATTGTAAGTCATTATTTGTTTATTTATTTGTTTTCTTTGATTAGCTGATGTTGCCAGCTGCTGCCAAAAAGATAATATGTCTTGCAGTTTCTCAGACTGGGCTACACACAATCACAGTTGTTTTTGCTTGTTATTGGTTTTTTTTTTCTTGAGATTTCAAGTTTGTTTGGTTGAATTTCCCAGCCATCCCGTAACTCTGCCCAAACCCCAGCCTCTACCTGCACTTGGTTTTAGGGTGGTTTCATTAAACCCAGACGTGTCACTGCCAGTGGGTGGTATCAGAAGCATGTGAGCCAATGTACTGTGTGTGTTGCACGTAAAGGTACGGCTAGAGGCAGAAGTGGCTTCTGGGGTCACTGAGGAATTGTTTATATCTCCTTCACTGCACAGGTTCAGGCCTAACGGCAGGCTTTTAGATCTGCGCAGAGGTGGTTCACTGGAAAAACAAACATTGAAATTAATATGTGTGTGGAAAATCTTCTGAATCCACTGTCAGAACATCTCATGACCATTGTTCCAAGAAATAAATCTAATGATAGATTTTTCAACAATTATCTTATCCAGATTTTAATCATGTTATCCAAATCTTTGGTTCAGGACATCTATAAAACTAAGGACTACATTTATCTCATTTGTACTTTGAGATATGATATCATGTCTGCACCAGTGAAATCACATTACAACCTGCTCATTTATCAAGAGTTTATCATTTCACTGCCTACCTATCACTCTCCTCCTTGTTGTCCTTCAATGCTTGTTTGTATATGTCTCCAACCATGCTATAAAGACAGCTCATGTCCCTCTGTAGATCTGGAATCCAGTAAACTAATCTGAAAGAAGCAATCAAAGAAATAGAAACACATTAATCCATAATAGCTGTGAAAGGTCAAAGCACTTGGCACTTTGATGTAAAATCGGCATTATCACTAAAGGGGAAATAAACTGTATAAAATCCTACATTAAAGGTTAGACCGAAATATTGGTCCAGAATGAAAATCCCTTTTAAATTTTTACTTCTGACAAAAATAACTGACAGTAAAAACTAAATAATGTTCGCCCGGTTTAGTAGTTGAGAATGAAAAATACATTTTTGGCATCAACAACAAAAGAACAGTTTTTGATTTTAAGATCACAGGGAAGAAAAGCGCTCAGTGTAAGCATAAATCATTTGAATGTGGTGGATCCAACATAAAGAATAGTAAGTAATAGGGGTGCAACGATACTCGTATCGATATTGAACCGTTCGATACAGTGCTTTCGGTTTGGTACGTGTATCGTGTGTATCGAACAATACAAAATTTTTAATTTATTTTATCAACTTTTCTTCTGACGATGCTGTCTGTGTTGAGCGCTCAGTGGATCTGCGCTCGACTACTCCACCTAGGCTGCACTGTCGAGCGCAGATCCACTGAGCACAGCGCAAGCTAGC